CAGAGAGAGAGACTTTCTCTGGGAAACAGTCTGCTTTCTTTTTCCGACCATTATTTCATTGCAGGGAGGAAATGAATGAGGAGAGATTAGTGGAGATTCATAAGCTCGGAGGAATGTAATGGGCAGGAGGAATCTGGAAGTTTTTTTTGCTTTCTTCTCGAGATAGTGAAAGTCTTCCGAGTTTGTTATAGTTATTCGCGGAGAAAATAAATTATCGCACACCTGTAACGCAACGCCACGATTTATTTATTTTTTATAAATAAGTCAGCTAACCTGTTGACACGGATAGCGTTATTTTAAGAAGGCAGGGCAAAAATAAGGACAGCGTTGGAAATAGAAGTTTTGGGAAGGACAATGAAATGACACTCCACAAAGTCATCTCCTGCACGGGTTGGTCTTCCTCGGGGAAATTTCGCTGAATGAAATATGCCTCATTAAACTCAAATTAAGGAGCTCGTTCCTTTATTTGGGAGAGACAGAGACATTGCCAGGATAGAAATGGTTGGGTTGGTTGGTCTTCGTCCAAAATGTTGTAACTCACCAGCGACCGAGGAGGAGAACTACTAATTCAACATTTGGAAGACAAAACCTTGTAGAATGCTTATTATTAGACGGACACTTTCATTACTGTGACGCTGCCTGTGCGTCGTGAACTATCGTAGTGAAAGTTACCTCAATTGCGTCCTTGACTACCTTCTTCCTCCGTCTTAAGACTGGACGGCGATAGACTTTGCAGATTGTTAATACCTTTTAAGCACCCCGTTCAAATTGAAATTAGGGAGGGCAGAGTTACGCGTGAGTAAACCATATCGGGACAATAAGCAGGTGGTTTGGTTATACTTATTAAGTGGATGGTGGGGTGTAAGTAATAAAGAAATAACGGTGGAGGGACGCTACACGTACAACGTGGATTTATTGGCATGCATTTTATTATTTTACAATGTAGACAAACTTAATCAAATTTCTGATTCAAATCGACAACTTTGTACTTTCCACTTTCTCCGAAATGTTTATTTTCTTCAGACTTGTCGCCGAGTGATGTATTGAATATTATTTAATTCATTGTTACGTAGAGTGGTGTATGAATGTACTTACATATAGCATAACAATTGGTTTAGTAGATACTTACTTCCTTGAGTTCGTATATATTTCGCACCAAAACAAGGCAGTCAGGGTCCTTCTCCACCTAAAAGGAATTAGTGAAATGGCTGCCCAAAGTCATTGTAAATTGCGACTTATTGCAAAACTTTGTGGACTGGGTTAGTTTCGTCGTTGTGACAGAAAGTTGGCAAACTTATATCGTCGTCGTAGGTATCAGACGATCAGATATTATTCAGTAATGGGTTTGGTCGGATTTCATTTGTTTTCAGCGGTGCGAAATAATCATTGGACTCTCGTCATAATGGTTTACTCACTCGCTCCTTTATACTTATTACCTCCCTCCGTTCACTTTATTGTTACGCAAGAAGTTGATAAGTCATTAATCCACTTGGGAGAAGATGTTGATCTAAATTTGTGCGTACTTATATTCCACTCAATTTTAGCTGCTTGCTAGAGAGAAAATCATCAATTTTTATCCCATTTAAGCCGTCAGACGAGTGGCCTACTTACTTAGTTCTTAAATTTTCTTAAAACGGGACAACTTTCTGTGGAAATAAATAAATATGTAACTAGTCCGAGTGGGAGAGAGCAAATTGGAAAATTTATTTATTTAGTTTACTTCATACTTTGCAGAGTGAAAGTGAACCTTGTTGTGTACCCAGGAAATCAGAATGGATTGAATTTGAACTGTATGCATGCACGCTGATTATATTATTCGCAACTTTCTCTGAAACGTAATTGTTGTTGAAAGTGAAACTATACTTTCTCCTTTGAAAAGTTGTTGCAACAAATTCCATAATTTGCAGGATAACTTTCTCTCTCTCTCCGCTGTACATTTGTTTGTTTGGCTTGGCTTGGGTTAGCTCAGCTACTGATAAGTAAGTAGATAAACAAACGAATAAACACATTTTGTCGGAGAGAGAATCACATTTTCACATCTGCGAATGTGAGTGTGAAACCTTTTAAGTCGAGCTGTTGGCCTACATACTTGGGGAAAGTTACTTGTTGGTTAGAGGGAATTGGGATAAATATTTTTCACCCGGTTGCTTGTTGCTCAAAAGAAATATTCTCGGAAGTATTTAGTGAGTAGATCCATGTATTTACTACTAGTTTTTAGCGTTCATAGTTTCGTCTCAGTTCACATGACTGGATTTTGTGAAAACTGGTGAGATTGAGAAACAATTCTAGCCCAAGTTTAGAAATAATTGGACTTTGTACTTGAAGATGAGTCGAGTCAAAACAGAGCTTAGAGTATATCCATTTCTCATTACGAGAACTAAATCAACACCACCACCGACAACAAAAGACTAAATTTAACCGGGTAAATATCCGGAAGCGGTGTACATGTAGTAAATATGCGTGCGTATGTATGTATAGGCTTCGCTGTGGGGAAGGATTTATGGGTGTCGCTAAACAGGCGAGTGAATAACGGTGGAAAATTAGTAGTTTTTAGAGGAAAGCAAAATTGTGTCACAAATTAGAATAATTCTGCAAAATGCACACCTCGCTAGGGGCAATATTCATTGGAAAGGTGCAATTTCTTGAAAATATCGCAAATTACGTGAAATTATTCAAGGGTGAAATTATATGTAGATCGAATTATGAATAATTTTATTAAATTGTAACACCTCAACGTCGAAAATAACCACAACTATTTTACTGCATATGTTCATGTGCTACAAGATTGTGAAAAAATCCCACTCAAAGTTTAGCAAAATGTAAAAATCATAATAATACTGTACTTATTATAGAATGAAACCCTATTATTTAAGCGACTTTGTCTGTCTGTCCATCCGTCCGTCCGTCTGTCATCAGGATTACTCGAGAACGAATCGAGATCGGTCATATGTATGACCGCAAGGGGAGGATCCTATCAACTGTTGGGATCACTCGGGCCACCACCCTCGAGGTCAAAGGGTGTGGTGTGGTCACATATTTTTTTGGGGGAATTACTGGTTTCACCCTATTGCTACATTTCGTTTCTACAGTTTATTCTGGTCGAAATTATGATTCGCCATAATCATCATTTTCCCGTTAGGATGTTTTGTGCGTTGGTTATGTGTGTTTTGCCACTTCATGAAATAAGAAGACTTTGATCTCGTGATACGATATTGTTGTGTTGCTGCCTGGCTGGCTGGTTGACTGACTTGGTCGTCATCATGCTTGTGGAAGAAAGCAGCAGCAGTGAGTGTATTTACCAGCCTGAGGGAGCAATTGGTTTGTTGGTGAGTGCTCAATGGGAGAGAAAATAGAGTGAAAGCTCTTTTGTGTAGCCAACCAGCCACGCCACGGTAAATTGTATCTCTTAAAATCAAATCTCCGCAAAAGCAAAAGCGAACCAAAGCTCTTGAATCCCACCACTCAAGTCTCCTCTCTCTCCTTCTGTCCTCTGCTATCCGACGTTCAATCGCCCACTGAAGTCTACGACCATGTACTTCCACCCAGCAGATTCGACAAATGAGGACCCAGCCAACTTCAGAATATCACTTTAATTAAAGGCCACCTTCTTAAAAATTGAATTGTATACGATACAATAGTATGGCCACTGAAGGGTGGGCGTAGGTAATGGAAATATTAATTACTAATTACTTACTCACTCACTTACTTGCTTGCTCGACCAAGTCAAGTAGTTTGTGAGTAGATATTAAGTAACTGAATTTCAGGTGAATAAAGCCATTGTGACCTTTCTGTTCGTCCTTCGCATAATTATGAATCATTATAATTTATTTTTGAGACGAGTATTTTTAGCAGGTCACGACTCCAATTACCGAGTTGGAAGGACAATTATTACAGTGTAACAGTTTCTTTCTTGGATGGCAAAGAAAGAAATGCATGCGTAGGTGGGACCCAATTTGTGGGGAAACGTGGTTTAACAAGATTTCCCAGTAGGACAAAAATACTTTTGGCAAAGGGAAGAAAAGGAAATTTTAATTTTATTACTTTCTTGTGCAGAATGGACAAAGGGATCGAGGTGGGTGGGGAATTTTGTATGCAAATTGAGTGGGATCAACACCTTTTTTAGATTGGAAAAAATTGGATTTTAATAAATCTAAAGGATTCTGTGTATACATATTTTTGTCGCGAAATCTTTGTGTTTTGCGCTAAAAATATTTTCATACGTTGTAAATTCAAAGCCCAGAGGACTTTTTTTTGAATTTCTCCTTATCCATTTAAACCTGTACTCGTACATGTTCAAATAAATTTCCGAGAAACTGGAGTTCTTCATTCTTTATGGCATCTTGATAAGTACTTAATTTCTGAGTATCTAAAATCGATCCCTTATTTGCATAACTTTCTAAATTCGTTCCAAAACTTTGCAATAATTAAGTTTAATGACAAAGTTACCTATGTGCGCTTGTACCCACGTACACATAAATCCAACTACTTGACTCCACTCACTCGCTTTAATGAGTTCTTTGACATGTTCCTTTCGCATATCCCTCTACTTTTATGCAATACACAACTTTCTCATACACACATAATTGCAATATGCTTAATTTCCCAAGAATAGGACAGAAACAAAGCTCTTCTTTAACTCGACACTCTCCGTGTCACATTTTCCCCCTATTTCTCCAATCAATTGCTGTTGTCCTCATCTCCCTTGCGAGATCGTTCCACCCTTCATTATCTCCCCTCTCGGAAAACAGCACAGTTTAATTAACGCTCTCTGAATTATTGACACTTGATTACGCACCTACTTACTCACTCCTCGCGAAAGTTACGAGTTAATGAATTCATCAAAGGGCAAGACTCCAACGGCGGAAATTGGCTGAATCCTATATGTATTTGTATACATACACATTGTCACAAGTTCCATATAATAACGTGTCAATAACTTGTGTACTAGATACCAAGCGTTGACCCCATTCGACTAAAACATCCATTCTACTCTATTTCAGGTATCGACAGGGACTGGCGTGGCGTCGTACAACGTTCATCTCGTCGTCGCTGTCCCGGAAGCTTTTATCCTGGGCAACGGAGAGTACCACGTCGAACAGGGCAGCACCATCAACCTCGTCTGCATCATTGAAAAGGTGAGTAAGCTCCACACAAAAAGTGGTAAATATGTGGGAGCAAAGTGAAAAAAGCGATAATTCTTCCGCTGGAAAATTTCCTTTCAATCCGCGATAACACGAGACCCGGCCTCGTCTCCTTTTCAATGTCACGTCGCTCCTCTCGAGATAGTGAAAAATTACGGGTTATTTTTCTGCCCTGCAACAAAAAAAATAGTGATGCATGGACAGGGGGGAAAATATACATAAAATAAAGAGGAAGCCTGATCGAGGCGAGGAACACATTGTAAAATGCAATGGAGACAATGAGTACATTGGTTGGTTTTGTGTGGGAGGAGAGGAGAGGAGGATGGATAAGTTATTACGAACCATCCATTTGCTTGTCATCTCGGCAACACTTTCACCCCACACACATGATTCAATTCAATGCAGACACACAACAAGCACAACGAACGACTGCTAAAAAGCCAAACCAACAAAACATCTTGATTCAGGCAAACATTCGTGTGAAAATATTGCCTTCTTTTTCATTCATTCTGTGTTTCGTCGTAACCTAACCTTAAAAATCAATTCGTACCTTGTTCAGTAAAGTGACGATGGTGTGGTCTGGTCGGGTGGAGTAAATGTATGAGAAATTGGGAAAGGTTTTGTAACACATTTAGGCAAATTCGGATTTATTTTTAGATTTGTAGACTTTCTTTTTGATAAATAAATATTTTCATGCTTAATGAGGGACTTATTTTCATACAAAGTTTTTCATTGTGGTAAATATTTACATTTTCGGTTTGCCTATATCTCAAAAATAGGAATGGGGACAATGCTTAATTGGGATTTATTTTTAAATTCGTGATAAATATTTTCATGCTTGAGGATTGAACGATTTACATATTTTTCTATCGATTTTATTATTGTTATATATTTTTAGTTTATTTTCTCTTCCTGAAAAAAATATACAATACAAAAAAATGAACCATTTTCTCAGAAATTGTAGAGATAAACTTTTCTCTAAATTTATTCAGAATCCATTTCAAATATATTTGCCCATTAAAAAGTTTAGTGGTCCCAAACGACTACTTAACTTTCACCTGAGAGCGTTAGGATGTGACGCTCTTTGTATAAACGGAGTTTCGCACATAAAACTTTTTTTTCCTCCTCCTTGGAATATTACATTACAAGAGATACTTTACGAGTGGAGGGGCATCCTCGTTGATACTGTTTGCAAATTATACTAAATTTTTAGATAAACAAATACAATACGTATTGTATCCTATTTTTATTACGGAGCGTACTTATGTATAAAATGTGGAGTAGTGGAGTGGATGGGATAATCCGACTTTTTGGAGAGGGGAGCTCTAAGCCCACTACAAGAATGTCATCCCATTATTATTATCCCACTACACTTTGCGTAATGGAGATAATGATCAATCATCACCCTCTCAAGATGGTGATTCAATTACGCCACACGACTTTTGAGGTGGGAGAAAGCAGAAAAATTCACAATAATGATCATCCCATCATCATCATTTCGTCTCCACTGGAATGAAAAGATGATGACATAATTCGCAATAATGGGGGTTGACGGGCCATAAATCTTACTCCGTGGTTGCTTATTCAAGGAGCGAAGTACGGGTTAAGATTTTATTTTAATGAGGAATGATTCGAAATGATGATTTCTTTAAATCCATTATTCTTTGGATTTAGGAAATTCTTATTCCAAAATTCTGTGCGGGGTGCACTTTAGAATATTTTTGAGTCATTATGAATAAAATGGTGGATATTTACCTTTTTGAGTGTAAAATGATGTCATTTGTGTCAAAGTTTTCCTCTCTGAAAAAAGAAATCTTATCTCTCATGTCCATCATGATTTGGATGGCATAAATATTTCGGCATGTCTCTCCTCCCCCATTCACTCGTTGTATTCACCGTAGTCAAACAGTAGTCGAACAGTAGTCAAATTTAGTGGTGAGCTTAGACCTCGTTCTCTTCGACAAGAGTCACTACAACCTGACCCGGCCGGGATCGTCTCGTTTAGATGAGAATGGACTTGGGAGAGGAGATCCCCGCATTTTAAAGCTTAAATTACCCGGACGACTGGAACTGAATGTGGAATTAACCTTCTCCCCCTTCCAACCAGGATTTCTCTCCTCCTCACAATTTCCCCTGCCTAATAACCTCTGCTCTTGGAGAAGAAGTAAATTTCTTAATCCTCATTTACGCCGTGAGCCATGAATTTTGTAGCACTTTGTATCGCTTCCAATTATAATGGAGGAGAGGGATGGGATTTATGGGGAGTGACAGGAAGCAGGGACTCGCGGCTCGAATTTTGTGCGTGGCGTGGTATTAATAAGAAGAGAGGAGGATGCGTTTGGCTGCAATTTATCCGGGTCGGGTCGTAATAATGCCGACGCCAGCACGACAATCAGCCCAGATTTTACATGTTAAATGTATAAATCTGAGATTTTCTCATCATCGTGATTCGCATGCTTTCTCTTTTTTTCTTCTGCTTCTTTTGAGGATGGAGCAATTTCAGAGATTTTACGGAGACGCTGTGGATGGTATTTGGTGGATGGTGAAAGTGGTGCCTATTTGTCTCTTCTTTATATTATTGTTATTCGTGTAAGGCGGGATTAGGCTGAGTGTACAAACAGCGAGTTTGTCTGGGCAAAGAAGCGTTTCTAATTCCATGGACAGTTCACATCGACAGATGCACTTGACACTTGACACATCCAATCTAATTTCTACCCTCTCTCCACCCGCTCACTCGGCCAGCTAACTACGGGTTTTATGCCTTGTTGTGATTTTAGATCCCATTTCTGGCTTGGCATTTCAATTAGACGACAAAAGACCCCAGATATTGAACTGGCCTCGTCTGATGTGGCAAATATGCACAATTACTCACAGTCAGAGAAAGTAAGAGCAAAGTGAAAGCCATGGAAGTCTTTCTGTTCATGAAATTGGAAATATTTTAACAGATTTATTTTTCTTTTCCAAGTAAATAAATAAATGTCCGGCCTTTTCTCTCGTCAAGTTTTTAATAACAATTTGCAAGCTGTATGTACATATAAAATCGTGACATGCGTGACTAGCCGAACGAACCTTGCAGTAAATAAAGTAGGGAAAGTTGTAAAATGAGAAAGATCGTCAACTAACCAGCCACGTCAGCGCATCTTGAGTCGTTTTTTCCCAAATATTTAATCCCAACAAGCAGAATCTTTCTCAAGTTAAGAGGGTTATTTCGTCAAGAGCTGAGAAAGGCTAAGTAGTTGTTGTTCATGTCGCAGAAAGCTTCTTGTTGCCGAATCCGGTTTCCGTCTTGCTTGAAGGAATTAGTGCAAAATGTATTTATTTTTGGCTCAGTCTCGCTCGTTATTCGTCGTGGAGAAGGAGAAGAAAGATCTCAAAAACTAAGTTGAACATTCAAAATCCAACGGAGAAAGCGGCAGTTCAGTGGGTGACATATTTGCGTCGTCCGTGCCGCAGCGTATGTCACGAGTATCACATGATGATGATCGTTCTCTCGTATAAGGTCGCCCGATATGACCATCATACGCAACGTTATTACGCATTATGCGTGCAAAGGGGTTGTAATAAAGATGACATGATGCTATCATACCCTCCGCATTCTGCTCCTTTCTCCTCGCTGCTTTCTCTCTGAAATCGCGGCAGCAAAGTTAAGCAGAGATTTTGTTCTTGCCGAAAAGCAGCTAAAAGTCAAGTGGAGGCACTTTTTTCTGCCATTCGAGTTATGAAACATGGCATAATTTGATTATTTTTCCTGCTTTCTCCGTCTTAGCAAAATATTCGTGCAACTACAAAATTGGCTTGTACTCTCATACACGTGTTTGTTTGTTTTAAGTAGTTACGCAACTTTCTCGGTACGCAATGCGGCCCAAGTGTGTTGTGGTTGTCGGAGAGTAGGATGCGTAAATTTGTGAAATTCCCATCGGAGAAATTTCCACTAATGCGTTGGTTCAGTCCGTCGAGATTTTTGGGAGGACGACCACTTCATTCCAGGCTCTCGTGATCCATTATAAATTAGCTTTCTCCATCCACTCCAGCCGCCACGCAGCCACCGCCACGGTTGATTATTTACTCATGATGGTGAAAGTGAAAGCCATCCCTTCCTGAATGGTTTTGGTTTTGCTATTGTTTTGCGGGTGAAAGTTTTCCGGTGTTCTCTTTGATTCATTGTATCGAGAGACAATGAATGCTTATGTACAGACGTAACTTTTGTTGGCCCGTTAATCTGATTAAGTAAAGGCTGGTGGAAATGTAAGCGGCTTATGATTAGTGGTTTGTGGTGACAAGAAAGAAATGGCAGGTGGTGGCCGTTAAGATTGGTTGACGAAGAAAGTAAAATAAAGTTTTATTTTTGATTGAATGAGAAAAAAAAATCTTTCTAAAATTCAGAATTCGTCTCGCATTTCGGGAACAATAATAATCCGATTACTTATATAGAATCTGGAAATGCGATAACTTTCTCCAGTCTGGAATGCAAATTAGCAATAATTTTAGTCTGGCTGTATTGTTGCTGCTGCTGCTGCTTTGCTTATCATCGTCATACTTCATTCCCGTCGTGATCATGATTGCGCGTTTCACATTAACAGGATTATTAAAAAGGGACGTGACACGACGACGAGGGGAGAAAGAGAAAGCTGAGGATGGAAAATGCCGGTTGGGGTGTTAATGAGTGGGACGGAGTGAAATTCGAGAGACGATCCCTTCTTAATTTAGAGTGCGATGGCTCAAAAAGTGAGCAGAATTTTAAGCAAAGAAGTTTGAGAATTGTGTTGTTTTATTTTTCCTCACAGAGTCCGAAGCCACCTTCGTTCGTATTTTGGTACCACAACGAAAGAATGATCAACTTTGGAGCTAGTCAAGAATTGAGCATTCACACCGAGCCTGGAACGGGCAAGACGCATTCCAGATTAATTATCAGGTAGGAATTTCTACGCTATTATGTAGAAATCCAGTATTAACATATTACCAAACGAATTAATATATGTATGAGTCAACGAAATTGGTAATAGCTCCGTACTCAAGTTTTACCATGTTGGTGGAAGATTTTTACGGACCGGTATAATTTTAATATCAAATGGTAGCAACTTTAATACCGAGAAATCAATACCAGATTTCTAACAGTGTAGCAGAAACATGAAAATTCCGAACTCGTGGGATTCCCTGAGATAAAGTGTCTTAAACATGAATTAATTAACTTGCAGAGGGGCTCAATTAAAAGATTCGGGAAATTTTACATGTCAACCGGCGAACGCAGAGTCTGCCTCGATCCAAGTCTATGTGTCACAAGGTAAGTTTTCTTACTTGCTCTTTTTTTAAAAAAAGTAGGAATTTTCAGACAAAATTTCTAAATTCTTATCGTCTTTTTCTTTCCCTCTTTCTCGCTCTCTTGTAGCATCCGGATTATTCACTGGAGACCAAACCGCTGCAATTCAGCATCACAATACGGCAAGTTCTGCAGTGCCGATGATGGTGCTGCCATGGCCGGTACTGCATTTCGTGCCCTTAATCGTCCCCTTCATCCAAGAAGTCGACAGGTTCATTTTGCAGTTTCTTCACTAAAATACAATGGTAAGACTGCCCACCACCACACCGCCACCACAATTCCCACTAATACTCGACGCAAGTCACGACGGGTATTGAAATTCAGGTGGAAATCTCCCCAAAAAACAAGAATGTATCAACTTTTCATAAATAGATGAGGAAATTTTAGACAAGATATTATCAATAATAAAATAAGATAGCTATGTATTACATCTTCCTACATACATACCTGTGAATGTAAGTACATCTTGTTGAGCTGGGCTTGCTTTTCTCGTCGCATTTTATGGAAAAGCAACGTACCGCACCATTTTCATGGACAAAGTTTTTACTGCATTGTTCAAAATACTGATTCCCAGTGGTGGTTAATATATTTACACATTTACTTGAATCATAAATGTAATAATAAGGGAATGAAAAAGTGAAAGTTGTAATTTTTCTGGTTGGAAAAGTGTTACCTGGCTGACCATGCATTTGTAATATTGCACAATCGTACATACATAAATCCATATATTTAGTAATTCTACCCATTTATGCATGTCTCATGTACAAATAAGTATGTATTTAAATACGATAATTAACTTTCTAAATTAAATAAGTATATACACTTCGACACCATCATTTAAGTCTTAATTAATTATTAACCATCATTAAAAATAAGTAAGTTATTTAACATAAAATAATTCACTTTAATAAATACTTAATACCGATAGGTTTTACTCTAATCAAATCCACTCAAGACTTCCTGAATTATTCTTGTAAAACGTATGCAAAAATGTGAATGTGTGCCCAATCTATTTCCAACAATTTACCTATTTCAACCTGAATATTTATCTCAATGTTTGCATGTCATCTCATATGAAACTAAACATAGAAATTATTCGTAAAAAATATTTAGTAATAAAAATTCTACTTGTAAAACGTCGTGCTAAATATTTGCTATATCATGCTTCACACGGCAGGATAACAAATTATGTGTAAACGTAATAACTTGTAAAAAGTATTTACATAATTTAGATAAAGATGTAGCTCTGTGAAAAAAAATCTTCATAAGGTAGAAAGTTAAGTTATACACAGTTAGTTAAATCCTAAATAATTAAAAGTATAATTAATTAATTAAATATGCATAGTGTATACCGTAAAAAATTTGAATTCTTATGTAAAAGTAACGTTATAATTACTTATTATCGTAATTATCATCCTTATTTTATTATTGCGACCATGTAACGCAGAGCAAAATCTAAATCCAACAACTGTCTATTCTTCTTCCGGAAAGTTATGAATTGATTGATGAAAAAATTTTTAATAAAAATAAATGTGAAAGTTTTCCTAAATTGGGTTTTGATTGATTTTTTTTTCTTCATAGAAATTAAAAAGTTTAAGTGGTACAAAAACAAATCACTTGAAAGTTTTTCTCCAGATTCAACTCTTATTTAATCACGATGGAAGAAAATTAATGAGGCAAAAAATTTCCTAATTAGTGCCGATCTGATCAAAATCTAGTCATCATTTCATAAGAGAGATCTCTTTTTTCATTAATTTACTTTCACTCGGACTGTTTGACGGATGATGAAGTCAAGTTTTTTACTCGATTGAATTTCATTCGGGAATAATTAACGAAAAAAGCGAACGCATTTCTTTTATGCAACAGGAACTTGTGAAGTGTTTTCCAGCTTCTCGGCTCGCTCCTCTCGTGATAAATGGAAGGATGGAGAAAGTGCATTGCATAATAACCGGGCACTAAAAGACAACTTTAATTTTCTCTCGGAATGTGTTGTTGTTGTTGCGCAAGGTGTCTTGTTGCAAAATTAATTTAACTTCCGAGCAGGTACTACATAAGTAGCTTTACGTACACGTCACATACATAAATTGGGTTACTGTCCTGTCCTATTGTGCAAAAGGGTAAAATACAAAATTTAACAAGTAATAAAATTTTTGCGCAAAGTACACTTTTTCGTTACGTAACGTTATTGTGCCATAACTCTATTTTTGTAAACGGTTTTATTCAATTCAATTCAGAGGTGACAGACAGAGGGAAAAAGAGACATGATTTCTTTTTCTTCGTAATAACATCGTAACCCCAAAACTGCAGACTCATCACGAAAACTGGAAGAAAGTAGATGACAAATACTGGAAGAAAATGGAGGATGAACCCAAATCTAAAAACTTGTCACTTTTTGGCAGCCGAAGATCAATAAAATTTGCAAGATTTTTTCTACTTTTTTCCCCCTCCTATAAGAAATCTGTATGAGGATGAAGTGTATATTTGGAGAGAGACTTCCTTCCTCCTTCATTTCGCTCTGGTTCAATCCCCGGTTTGAGTTATGTGAGGAGGAGAAAGTGATGCGTCGTCGTGCGTTGAAATGAAATGAGGCGACCGGATGCCAGATAGACGGACGGACAGATTTTGATTCCATGTTTTTATTAGTGACAGCAGCCTTGCCAAAATTGGGGGGAAATGGCTTTACCAGAAAAAGTCGTTATTATTGCGGCGCAGTCCAATTAATTTGGAGGGCAGGGAAAGCAATAAGTTAGCTTTGTTTCCGGCCATGCAAAAAAAAATAAATTACAGAAGTCGGCCAAAAATAAAAATTAAGTGTGGGCATAACCAAACCACTAAGGTTGTCATGAATGAAATGTATTTGGCTTTCACTCAATAATATACGATTTCTCGGTGAATCTACTACTTAAGATTTCCTGTCATGCTTCACTCTTATCGATACTCGCTCACTCACTCATTCACTCCACTACTACTACTACTAATACCTACGATGTACTATGTGCGGCTGCTACTACGGGGAAGGGACTTGCCACTAAAATGCGGCATTTCACCAAAACCACATATTCGGATTTATTTCTTTGTGGTACAAGAAATCGTTGCTTCTGTTTACAATAATTTAAACCAAAATTATGAACATTCATACAAATTGTGAAAGGAAAATAAGATCAAAATCATTCCGTATACACAAAATTAATGCCGATTCACGCAAAATTTTGTCATCCTCATAAAACCACGAGCTTAATATTTTGTATGAAATCTTGTCCTGAAGAATAATACGACCTCTGTCTCCGTGGTCCTTGTACATACGTATGTACGACATGGACAGGACAAAGACATCCTGGCAGAATGACACTCTACACTTGCACGACATCACGTCACCTCGTTCCATGAATTCTCGCAAATCAAGCCCGAAAGAGAGAAAGTGAATTCAACAGGATTTCTTCCAGAGAGAGGAGAAAGTGCACAACTTTCACCAGAGGAACTCGCTGTGCGTATGGGGAACATTGCTGATGATGACTTTAGTACACGATCCGCTGGCTGGCAGGTCTTCATAACTTATTCAGTATTCAAAACAGGTCCGACTCGAATGTAAAAGAAGTTATTCTTAGTTTTCCGTGCAGCTTTGGTCCGCCGGTTTTGCAACATTTGCAAATTCATCATATGCAAACAACCGAGGAGAGAGACAAGTTTATACAAATGTGTGGAATTACGTGACAGATCAGAAGACCGCACCGCATCCGCCGACCGCAACATTGGAGCCGTAATTTACTAGAGCTCTACACACGTGCATGCATACAGTCCAATGTTAAGTTAGGTGATGTAATAGTAGATACAGCAACACCAATTAGTGAAACTTTAAAGGAGAGAATATATTTACAAAATTGCACTAAATTCCATGAAATTTGTACGCCAACATTTTGCAAGTGATACATTTTACTAAACTAAATGGATCAAGCTTCTGTCAAGTGGCTCATTTTCAATTTCATGAAATTGAACTTCATCCACTTCCAAACAAGGCACAAAAGTAGAGTAAACTAAAGTGGGCCCTATATAAATTGTATTTACAAATCGTTACACATTTTTTTCTGAGACAGCAATGTAAAATAGTTCTTGTATGTACATATTTTCTAGGAAAAAGGACATAACTTTGACATCAATTTATTTAACAAGTGTGCACGTGTGTCGAGTGAAAAATATACTTTAAACTTTTTTACCTTGACAGACATCACAGTCAACAGTTAGAAAAAAAGAAGGAACTTTTCCTTTCGCGATTTAAAATTCGACTCCCATGTTCCCAACGGATGCTGCTGCAACGACGCAATAGATAACTGAATTATCAGAATAATATCCCAAACACAAATTTGATTCGTCCTTGGGCAGCATAATTTGTACAGCATTGTGTCCAAATTCCGACCGGATATTATGCAATCTTCATTTGATTTCGTTGTTCTGATTCAATCCAGTTCCGGATGAGTGGATCGAATCCAGATTTGGATTGGGTTCTCGGACGGAGATGGAAATTGTCCACGGGACAAAATACGTAGTTCTGCTGGTTGGTGGGTTTCTGGGACTTGTTCTTCCACAGAGAGAACAGAACAGAACAGTGGTGCCTTTGAAATAATGGTGGATGAGATTGTCCCAAAGATGAGGGAGGCTGTGAGCACTAGAGAGATGTGAAGATCTGGTGTGGAAGAGATTTCTAGATTACTTCGATTACTTCTCAAGTGGAAAGAGCAAATGGTCCGGTGGGCTCAAAGTACATCAAATTTAAATGCCATTATATTTACTACGGCTACCCCTTTTGTCTCCAAAGCGTGTCGTACATATTGAGGTGACGCTGTACGTAATGGTTCCCTACCTGGTACTACGGAATACTGGTCTCATGCATATCTCTCGCCATTCCATTCTTGTCGCATTGTTCTCCAAAATGGTGTGTAGTTAGTGTCCACAGTAATTTTCATGTCGGCGTGAGTGACTAAAGTAAAGTCATGTCGTTTCAAAAAGTGAGTGAGTGAGATGAGCAAGTGGTGAAATAATGCATAACTTCGGATAATGCAGTGATTTATCAGGGATTATTATCTACGTAGATCGTTTAGACGAGAAGCACATGACAATTTGAAGGGAACTGTACTCTCGAGATTTTTAAATTTTACAAATTTTTCCCATCGTTAATTTAACTATATCCAATTTATTAATTATTTGACTTGTTAAACAACAAAGATTTCCAGATCAGTGTGGTATTTTTAGATGGGACTCCAGTTCAACCCATCGTCCACGTAAAACCCAGAATTTGAAGAACTAGTCGAACTCTTTTTCTCGCCCCTTTGTTCGCCATCGTCGCCGTGATTGTCGTCATCCTCAGAAAAGGGCTCCGTGTCGTGATCCGATTCATCGCCGCTGCTTCCGGAAAGGTTGGAAAAGTAGACAGACTCCAAGGTCTTCCACGTATCACGGACTGAAAGTTTCTTGTCTGGCGTGAATACGTCATCATCAGATCCGGAATTGGAACTCTCTTAAAAGACCAGACCGGAACACGGGATTAGGCAATTGACGAAAATAGAGTAAAATTTTTTTTCATACTTTTGCATCCTGCACATAACCCAGACCCAGACGACGCCTCGGAAGAAGTGCTGCTGCTATTGCGACTCTTTGGAATATGACCTTGGTTGGGCTGTTGGGGAACTTGGGTGGCTGTGTCACTCCCCTCTTGGGAAGCCACCTGTTTAAACCGAGTAGAATGTTACACATTAATTTTGCCAGAGATTTAGTTCGATGTCCGAACCTGATCTGATGCGGGATCAGAAGCAAAGAAGTCGCTGCTTGTTGCCATTATTCCTCCGGATGACGTTACTACTCCATTATTTGAGCTACCACCATCATCACCATTAATTGAACCAGTACCAGCACTGCGAGACATTTTACGTTAAAATGAGTCACGATATTAAGCACCAAATTTATATACGAGTTACCTGTTCAACCTCTTCTTTTCCTCTCGGATGGATTTCCTCGTTTCTAAAATTGGGACCGTACTTCCCTCGACGATAGCTTTTTGGAGGGATCTCAGCCCCCTCAACTGGTCGAGATGACCTTTCTCTTTCAACCAGTTATGAAATCGCAGCTGAACAACGGACATGAGCTGACTCTTCTGCTGTTCGTTTAAATCTGATTTCCGTATCTGCATCTGTAAGAAAAATTATTATTAATTTGTGAATTGTCATACTTTCGAAAATTCAAAACTGTCATGCATGAACCCACCATGTAAGCCAATCCAGTCGCCTCTACGAACGCCGCTTGTTTCGCGTAGCTCCTCTGAAGTTCGCACGGATTTAGGAAGGAGGATCCATTCATGGTGAAGGGGTAGATGATTTTCGTAAAGTTTTCCGGTCTCAGGATAGAATAAGCAGATTCCTGCCGTGTTCCTGCCGCTGGAGTGTCGGGATTTCTGTTTCTGGAGGAAGGAAACCCACTCATGTCTAATTCAAGGGGTCGATCTCCCTTCAGGATCTGCACAAATATGCAAATTTAAAAAAATAAATGTCATCACAATTTTGATAAGGTCTATTGTACGAAGTGAAACAGACCGTCGCTCCCAATCCGACCATGTCCATGTGCCTCTCCAACTTCGGGTAGAAAGTGTTGTACGGGCCGAGAACGATGTCTTTCCCTTTGCCCCCACAAATGATGGGATGCGTCGGCGTCGCAATGTTGAACGTGCTGCTCACCACGTCCTCAAGAATGAACATCCTCCCCACCGCGGAGACGCGAAGGTTGGAACAGTTCACAAATTTCACGAATTTTGCAGCCGGACCAAAGTAAAGGGTGCAATTGTCGCATTTTTCTACGAGAATGGAGCTCAGTGTGCAGGGGATGTAGATGTAGGAATTTGAGCATCGGTGGACCTTGAGGGATGAGAGGAGTTGGAGCGTGTCGAGGTGGAAGACTTTACTGTTCACGGTGGAGATTAAGTACCACCTGGAAAATTATTTATTTAGGTGGAAATTAGTCCAATTAATTATATATTTAACTCGATGGCGGATGTACCCCTTCGGATAAAGTTGAGTATTCCAATAAACCCGATTGTTTTCAAAAGCGTTAGTATTTTCCCAGATTCCTGTCCGATAGCTGACGCCTTGCTGTGGCACTGGGGTGCTTGATGGTCCCCACGGGTTCATCTTGAGATTGGATCTCACCCACTGAATCAACCTAGTTCGCAGAAATTAAAAAAAGTGTCCGCATATTATATGGACTAAATTATTTACTGGCGTACCTCTGCTTATCTACACTGCCATTCTTGTTCTCCTCATCTTTGACGAAACCTACTGCAGTTGCCACTTCTGGTACGGCCAGGACACATTCGGCCAGCGTGGAAAATTCCGTATCAATCGGTTTCCCCTTGACGCTGGCGGATCCAAGGATGAGACTTAGGGCTGAAACGATTTCGAGAGGGATTCTCGTGGCAGAATGTTGCTCGTCATTTTTGTCCTTCTTTACGAAGACGAGATGAAGAAAGTCAACAATTTCTTCGATATTGGTCTCGACAAATGAACCGTGAGTCTGTTCAGGGAGAGGTCTGCGCTTCCTGTAAAATTTAGATCCGACACTCGTATTAGGTGGAGTTCCCTGTATTTATAAAAAAATCTGTTTAGCAAGAATTTTTGTCCTGGTTTTCTAATTCCTTTTCCTTGATCGTTTTACTCACCGGCTTTGATTTTTCTTCTTCTTTCACTTCCTTCACCATTTCCACGGGCCAATGGTCTTCAAACAATTGCGCAAAATTTTTCCCCTTTCTGGCCGCTGCCTCATATTTTCTGGATTCCATAAGTTTATAGAAATTCTGAATGTAGAGAAATATTAGGAATTTCAGCGTGTCCACGGAAAGCTCTTCCTCCGGGTCGACCAAATTGGTTCGAATGTTCTCCATTTCGATGTCCAGACTGTCCTTGAGTTTAAAATTCGTCCTAGGATCGATTGCACGCGTGAGGATGTCGAACGACCGGATAAACGACCAGGACAACTCACAAGGAAGGTTGAGCTTCCGTTTGCTGATGTGTTGCCATTGCTCGTAGCGAATTTTAGGGTAAAATCCTTCCCGATCGCGACAATATTCGGCCACTTTGCGGAGCATGATGAGCCCAATTCTTGAAATTGGGGTGGGGGACAGAATCCCAAAGATGAATGGTTCCTCCTTGACCCAGAGCATGAGGGTCGGAATTTCCACGTCGAGGTGCACAATTGGGGCGGCGAGGACGGGGTGACGACGACATTTTTTCGCTTTGGGGGACTGACGAGGGGAGGACTTTGACACGGGGGAGGTTTTTGATGAGATTTTCGACATTTCGAATCCAGTTTCTTAAGATGGGGACGTTTAATGGGCAAGTTGCGAAGCCGGTGTGGGCCAACCTGAAGTTTTACTTATGTACTTACATTCAGAATGGTTTTGTAGAACTGAAGGGAAGCAGAAGCAAAGATAACGGTCCTCCACAATAAAATTAAGGTCTAATTAACATGGGCATGGATGATAAAGTGACTACGGTTAGTGTAGTACTAGAAAATGGAACTAATTAGACCTTGCTCACAGTCCTTTGTATCCAGCAAACGTGCTCCACTGCATGTAAACTCATCGTCGTGTAATTGTAAATATTATCATTATTTTAAATCACTAATTTCCATAAAAACGCCTTGCTTTATCATAATTTGTGAAGTGCTCATGCAGACCTTTCACGTAAATGGTTAAGGGCCCGGGGGAAGATTTACTTTCGAAAATTGATTTTATGTTAGCAACAATAATTGCTAGGAATCTAAGATTATTTATCACTCCATAAAGTTACGACCACGATTAATTGACACGGTTTCTATGGTACACTCACGTCCAAAAGCTTTTGTTTGATCACTTTTCCCTCAAGTTTTTGAAAAAAGTTGTTTTCTTTTGTTCCATGGATACTCAAAATGCAATTCATGCCATCAATTTTGCAATTCTAAGCCAATTTGTGCTTACTTTATGCAGAGACTGGTCAATCCCGGATTAAGGATTGGGGATTGAGATTGGGATTGGGGATTAATTAATCCTTAATCTCAATCCTTAATCCCGAGTTTTTGAATTTTAATCCTTAATCCCTAATCCCCAATCCAACTCTGTCAACTTTAATCCAAAGGTGGGATTAAAGTGGGATTAAATTTGCATTGACTAAAAACTCGAAAAACAAACTTCTCTTGAGATCGCTCCCCTTTCGAAAATTGATTGCATTTCGTTCATTTTTATCAAACATTTAAAAATACTTCACAATATTTTGCAAAACTACTCGTATCGCGGTATCCTCAACTCAATGCACAATGTTCAAATTTTGTGTGAGCTTATAAAGAAATGTGAGTACTCTAACCAAACTATGATCGATGCTGTTCGTTAAAATAGTACCAAGAATAAAATTAGAATTCTTCCCCTATATAATTTTTAGCACAAAATATATTTAATTGCGACTTAGAAATTGTATTCAGAAGCGATCTAATTTTGTATGCAAAATGATCAAAATATTTCATTTTCAGAAGTTCAGAGATTTGTTTAATTAATTTAAAAATCTGGCATAATAATGCGCCTTAATGCAAACAATTAATCCACGACTATGTAAATTAATTTCCAAACCAGGTAACCCCTAAATTTAATCCCGTGTCAATCCTAATCCCAGATTAAATTCAATCCCTAATCCCAATCCTTAATCCCAAAATTTGAAAAATTAATCCTTAATTCCCAATCTCAATCCCAAGATTTTAAATTTAATCCTCAATCTCAATCCTTAATCCCAATATCTTTAATCCGCCAGTCTCTGACTTTATGACCAGATATCTCCACTGCGCAAGAGGGCACATTGTCAAAAAAAAAGTTAGTAAAACCTAAAGATATAACTAACAAATTAAACATAATTTGAAAAATGTGCCCTCTTGCGCATTGCTGAATTTTATGATCAAAGTTGACATGATTTCTAAGCAACTTCCCCCGGGCCCTTAAGATTTCATAACATACAAACCCTATGAAATTCAGTATTTAAATACGTCCATATTAACCCCATTTATTAATGCAATATGAGACATGTGAAAATATGTATTTGTGTGTATGTGCACGTCGAAATATCAGTTGAAATGTGTTACATATTCACATAACTGGAATCATTCACGGCAAATATCATCATCGGGATTACTTCACGATGTCACAATTGAAAATGATTAAAATCCTATAACGCACAAAAAACATTGTTATAATTATTGTCACCAAACTTATAACAATTATTTTATTTTCTCACCAAAACTAACAACGCTCCCAACAGCAGAGCTTTATGTCTGACGCTCAAATCCCTCGGAAAATTGACCCCAAAGCATTCCGTCAGGTGGAAATGGTGGTCAAACAGGTCGTCCCACTGTTTCCCCATCTTGCCCACAGTGACGCCCAGCTGACACGAGTACACCGCAAACTCGGCACCCCCACTGATGTATGCAATGCAGGAATCCAGCGTCCTACACACCCCGATGCTGCTACTCCTATCGTCACGACCAGCACCCTCGTTTGTCGCGGCACGCCTACGCGCAAACAATCTGCAACACCACCCACAAATGCAGGTCGAGGGCTGCACATCAGCATCACGGATGGAAATTTCGTCGTCTAAAAAAACAACAAGAATCAGACCAAACCTCGTAAAAAATCAATCTTTACAAATGAGAAGACATGACCTAAATCTGCTGTCGTACATGTGTACCTCGTTGTTGTCCAGCAGAAAAGTTTCTCATTTCGACGCACTCGCCACCACCGCCATCAATATTATTGACATCGCCCGTGTCATGATTCCATTCCCCCATTTCGACTCGTCTCCTCCTGGGAAACACAGGGGAGCAATTTTGGAGAGCAGAAGTGTCATTATTTGTTCTCCTTCGTACCCCTTCACCTTCACGACTACGTTCATAGTTATTGGGATTGTCATCATGTCGAGTTAAGAGATTTTTACTGCAAGTCGCACTGCACTCGCTCCTTATTCTTGGGTCGAGGTTATCATCAGATTTCGGTTTTGGTTCATTTCCTGTCCTACTCGGGCCGGGAATTTGGGCGGTGGTGGTGGTGGTAATCGTGCCCGTTTTTCGAGGAGTCATTGTTGTTGTTTCCGCCTCATCGATGGGATGATCATGATCATAAACATTGTCGTCATCATCATTCCTATCTGTTTCTATTTTCTTTGAACTTCTGCCCCCTTTTTTCTCGCGGTGAGAATAATGGCGTCGTTCTTCTTCTTGGTCTCGTTCTTGTGGTGGTGTTCCTGACCCAGTGGTTTCATTTCGAGGTTGCTGGCCAATTTTGCTCTCGACCTCCATGTTCTTGGCTCTCTCCGCTATTTTCGCTAGTGACGAGGACTCGGCCAGTTTGATGGCGCTGTTACGTTTGCCCGCTTCCTTCTTGGAGTAGGGCGATCCTAAACTGATGTCATAAATGCGAAAGATCTCATTTCCTTGAGCATCTATCACAATGTAGTTTGAAGAACAGCAACGGACATCTTCGTGCAGGAAGCCGAGATTCATCCCATTTTGGCTGATGGAGGCAGACTGAGAAAAAAACGGGATTGAATGAACTTTATATATTTTTATCGTAGTAATGAGAAAAAAGGTGTTATGTGACGACATGGTTATCGTCCCGTATGATAATGGGATAGCTTTAGGTTATCATCATCATAAGATCATCATAATACAGACACGATGAGAGAGAAAGTGACCATTTTGACGAAACAAGTAGTGGAATGATTCATTATTATGCATTGTCTGTGTGTATATCGACATGGCTTTCGGAGGAAAGGAAGTCCTTACCATCGCCCCGTAACAGTCGGGTCGCGAATTGACGGCGAGTATCTCGTACCCGGAAGATTTTTCTTTGATGCTCATCCGAAATGGTTGGCCACACCCACCGCGACAACAGAGTTTGAGAATATTGTCGGTGGAATCTTTCGCAACAAAGATGCGACGCCCAGTTCCGTCCAAGACTTCAAACTTGTTTCTCGAGATCATCGTGTATGCTAAATAAATCGCACAAAATTATGATGGTGGTAAGAATTCGCATGTTTTATGTACAGGATTTTAGATGCATTTATAATTTTGTATGCAGAATTTTACGTACGTGGCTCCGTTTCTCGAATCCCCTGTCGTACGAAGAGGTGGTCGACAGGGATTAGTTTTTCCAGGCCAGGTGGACAGCTTGGATCTTGAACAGGGATTTATAATAAATATGTAAATCAGAATCATTCAACTTGTATTTAACAATAATGCTTTTAACCCAGTTTGCCCACATTTTGCTGGTAAGTAAACCACAATGTGCTCCAATTTATTGTTCTTCTTGTCACAAGCGAGGCAGCCTTTTTTGCAAGCTCTCGCACGAAATACTTTGTGTAGAAAATGCAAAAAAAAACAATAATTTAGTACTTCAATTGATTATGTTATAGGTACATGTATTTTATGTAAATATTTTATACTTGACGGTTTTTTTGCAGGATTTATAAGTGAAGAAATCGGTTCTGACATGTTTTTATTGATCTGCGAATTATTTTTACTCATAATATTTAATTATGCTGATAATACTTCCACTTCCACTTGATTCTCAGCTTTCTATATACTTATTCGTTTCCAGACCATGCTTTCTCTTCTCACCAATTGGTAATAACTTTCAAAATCAACGAGATACAAATAAGTGAAGAAACAGAGACAGAATTACACGAAATCGCACTCGACGTGAATGATAACAATCCAATCCTACTTTTCCGGGGAAGATATCAAATGAATGAAAAAATAAACATTGCTTATTATTCAAACATTCTCTGCCCGTGATGCGTATACTTGGCATTGTAGTAAGTAGCATGCATATTGCGTTAACTAACTGAGAAGTCACCGTATACTAATGCGAAAGACGTGCTGGTGACTGTAAAAATAGCAGCTTTTCATTTCACTACTGCATACAAAATCCGGGTAATGTTAATGAAAAGGAAACCCGGAAACGTTGGGCGAGCAGTGATCAGTGCCAAGAAATTAAATCTCGAAAAAAGTGCACAATATCCGAGACACATATAATCGAACTCGGCTTAAAACTTTATTACAGAAATGCTCACATGGTCGTTATTCATATAAAATAAGAAGTATCACATAACAAAATTGCAAAAAAATCTCCCTCAACATACGTATTACGTAATTTTAGCTACCCCTGAATCTGACATTGCGACCTTCGCAAACAATTTACAAAGTCCATGTCACACGCACACGCCCGTTTGGAACAGACGCCTCCTGCGTCGCTGCAATGCGGGAACTGGAACGTGTAGAGGTCCACGTAGGGTAAGCAGCGTCTACTTTTCTGCGGAAGACCGCCAATATTCAGGAAGAATTTGTTATCCATGCTGTACGGTCCGAAGAATTGGAGATTGGAGATGATTTCGTTCACCCCGATGAGCTCAGTGGTTCTTCCGAGCAGCTCGTCGTAACCTACATAATCAAGAACCCAATCAATTAATTAATTATTAACTGATAAATTAATAATTAATTAATTACAGTTATCATGGGTTTTGCAACATTTGTCACACTGGTCAATCGTAGATCCGTCGTGGTTTCTGTCCCCACCGTACCCACAATAGTTCCCATGCTACAAGAATTAGGAAGTCAAATGTGAGACAGAAATTATGCAAATTCAAAATTCTGAAATTTCTGGAAATCTTGTCAGAAGAATGCGCTTACCTTTAATAGCTGAGTAGAACTGAAGGGTGTGTAATGGTCGACAAGATACCCTAACTGAGCAACGTTTCTTTTCTTCCTGGAAGTAAATCGGAGCACGTGCGGATGGTTTCGTTCACTAAATTCCTTTTCATGAAAATTTACTAAATTGTCTTGAACATTTTCCGGAAGTGATCCGACCACTTTTACCGTGAGAGCCAGCACCCCGAGCAGGGCGGCATCGAAGAGATGACTTGATACCATTTCTGCTAAATTTTTCTGTACCGTGTAACACTTTGATGTCACAATAACCGACTAATTAAATGGGTATCTGTTCTCTCCATAAATACCTTTTTGTACTACTAAATTTCAAACAAATCCAGTTTACTATACTTTCCAAAACAAATAATTGTCAAGCTTTCACTAAATATTGATCTGTGCCTGAAAATGACAACTGATCAAATAAAAGAACAATGGAACCGTTCGCTTGGCAGTCTCGACTTATGTAATAATTCATCGAGTCATCTTCTCAATTTTAATTATCACTCACTTCCAACTAAACGAGACACGATGCAAGTAATTCAGTAGTAATTGTGTGCGTCCAGTCCACTCCAGTCACTAAAAGTAAACTTATTAAAAATATGACGTGTCAAGAGTTACGCAATATTCGTAATGTCATCTCAATTCGAGGTGTCGTACAATATATTCCTAAGTGATAACCGAAAATGAGGCAAGGTATCAATAAACTGAAGAGCTAACAGAATTTGCAAGTCTCATGTGCACGTAAAATAATAATTATTTCAAGAACAAAGTCATTTAGAGAGGAAGTAAAATAATAAGTGCGAGGGTGATAAGTTTTGTGGGTCAATACCAAAATTACTACACACACCACCACGCGTAAAGTAATTAGTTTCCTTTCCTTCCTTACATTTTGACACCTTGAAAGGCCTGCCTGCTTGCATGCAATTACTCGTTTGGCGTGAAAAATTGTATGTAATGATATTAAAGTTTATGAAGGTGTTGTCCGGTCAAGTGTGGAAAATACTTTTCTTTAATACTTACAAGTCGTGTTATCCAGTTGTCCATCTCAAAAATTAAAATCGAAGCTAACAACGTGCTGACAAAAGGAATTCATGGAACTCAACTATTGACGCACGCACCACCGTAAAATCCATGAACATTTAATGACAACGATGACGAACAATTAAATATACCTATGCAGGCCATGCTATAAAATAAAACTCGATTGTATTTTGCATACAATAAAAATGCTAAATAATAAACTCATCACTTTTTGACAGTGTATTGTCGTTGTGAGTTTATATAAATATGCTTAAATATATTTGCTCAACTTTTTATACTTGATCCGACAGTTAAAATACATGCAAAGGACGTATTTTGGCCAAGTCAAGGTTGCACCCACCTGCACAGCGTTGAAACTTATAACACTACTGCTGCCTGCCATTGAAATATCGATGTCATTATTCATTATGCAAATTATGGAATGCCAATTATACTCACCTTTCAGTTTGCATCTCTGCAGCACTACACATTACAAATGGTGATGGCGTTGTTCTGGTGGGATGTGGAGTGCACGTACAGAAAGACAGATACAAATTATCCACCCACTCAAATTATGCATGCACTGGTTTTATTTCTTTATTCTTTTTTAAGGAAACGGAAATTAAGCCGGAAGAGAATTAAATGTCTTTTAGTTGCAAATTTAGAATGACGGAAGAAATATTAAAATGCATAATTTCAAGAGCATTTCAATTTCATTTTGTAAATCATTGTCGCCATCATGTAGTGGTTAAAATGGAACAATTTGATTTTTGATGGTCTTAAGCATGAAAAAATAAATTGTGAAATTATGATGGAAGAATAGTAACAATAAAATTTATTTTATGAGTGACAATTTGACATTTTGGGATTTTTAGCAAAAAAGAGTATTATTTATTAGTGTCGTAATTATACAATTAAATGTTACCCTGCATTGCATGTACTGATTCTGAATCACCAAAATTGCGGGTGTGACCTTGCGACATGTCGATAACACCAAAAAGAAGTCTCTGTCGAAGTTTGATGAAAATCGGACGAGAAATGGCGAAGTTATGACATGGCGACGAAATTTGGCGAAAACAAGGTGGTGGCGGCGGGTGTGACCTTGCGACATGTCGATAACACCAAAAAGAAGTCTCTATCGAAGTTTGATGAAAATCGGACGAGAAATGGCGAAGTTATGGCATGGCGACGAAATTTGGCGAAAACAAGGTGGTGGCGGCGGGTGTGACCTTGCGACATGTCGATAACACCAAAAAGAAGTCTCTGTCGAAGTTTGATGAAAATCGGACGAGAAATGGCGAAGTTATGGCATGGCGACGAAATTTGGCGAAAACAAGGTGGTGGCGGCGGGTGTGACCTTGCGACATGTCGATAACACCAAAAAGAAGTCTCTGTCGAAGTTTGATGAAAATCGGACGAGAAATGGCGAAGTTATGGCATGGCGACGAAATCTGTTGAAAACAAGGGGGTGGCGGCGGGTTAGACCTTGCGACATGTCAACAACACCAATAAGAAGCATTGTGCCAAATTTCATGCAAATCGGACGAGAAATGGCGAAGTTATGACATGGCGACGAAATTTGTCGAAAGCAAGGTGGTGGCGGCGGGTGTCACCTTGCGACATGTCGATAACACCAAAAAGAAGTCTCTGTAGAAGTTTGATGAAAATCGGACGAGAAATGGCGAAGTTATGACATGGCGACGAAATTTGTCGAAAGCAAGGTGGTGGCGGCGGGTGTCACCTTGCGACATGTCGATAATGCAAAAAAGAAGTGTTGTGCCAAATTTCATACAAATCGGAAGAAAAATGGCGAAATTATGGCATGGCGACGATATTTGGCGAAATCAAGGGGGTGGCGTCGGGTGGGACCTTGCGACATGTCAACTACACCAATAAGAAGCATTGTGCCAAATTTCATGCAAATCGGCCGAGAAATGGCAAAATTATGGAATGGGGACGATATTTGTCGAAAGCAAGATGGTGCCGGCGGGTGACCTTGCGACATGTCTAAATTTGATGCAAATCGGACTAGAAATGCCGATATTATGGCATGGCGACGAAATCTGTCGAAAACAAGGGGGTGGCGGCGGGTGGGACCTTGCGACATGTCAACTACACCAATAAGAAGCATTGTACCAAATGTCATGCAAATCGGACGCGAAATGGCGAAGTTATGGCATGGCGACAAAGGTTGTCGCCAAGCCATGCATTTATGAGGGGGGAGCTGTTAGCCGCCCTAAGAAGGGCGTTTCCAGAGCACACGACGAGGACGTCGCTCCCTCGTGCTCCACGCGGGCGGGCCCCCACTCGCGCCCTGAGGCGCAAGGGGGGTCTACCTCCACCGACCGGGAAAGCCCTGCCCACGTCACCGCCTCTGCAACCGCGTTCCCCTAGGGGGCCCGTCTGACCCTCGCCTTACGAGGTGGGAGCGCACCCGTAAATCGGCCCCCATTAAGGCTTCGAACTCGGGAACCCGGTCGGCCCCAAGGGGAGTGCAAGCTAAAGAGCCCGGTCACCCAAGGGTTGGAGGTAGAGAGCCCCTCTCACTTGCCAAGCGCCACCCGCACTTTTGGCAAGCCCCGCCGGCTCCCTACCCGGTGAGTCTGCTGGGTGGGAGGAGCATTGGAGGGGGGACCTTCCCGTAAGGCTCTCCCCTTGCAGCGTTGCTCCCCCGGACCACCCCTCCAACGGGAAGAGAGTCGGGGCTGTGGGACAAACCACGGGTGGACCCGACTCCCCAGAGAGGCAGGGCGGCCCAAGGGCGCAGCTGCAATGGGGAGCTCACCCAGGTACACGTCCGTCCCCCACGAGCGCCTCCCGCAGACTAAAAAAACTGCGGAACGAGACTTGTACTAGGCAACTTTGGCCCCCTAACCACTAAATGTGGCGACTTTTGCAAGAAAATGGTTCAATGAACGGACTTGCAACTGATCAAATCAGCCTATTTTTTGGTAGTAGGGCAGTTGATCTTGCAGTTTGTGCATTAAAAGTTTCAAAAAGGTCAGTGGGAGTTTTCAAAACGAGGGGGTGGGGTATGGCTAACATGCGAATCTCACCTGTACGTGACGACCAATATTGTTACTGAGTCCATTAGATATTTTTTAGGTTAAATATAGTTTTATCTACTTGTGTCATAGTTTTTAAACCAGTTTTGTAAACTGATAACTATTAACACGTGAATAAAGGCTTAAATCAAATCAAATCAAATGTTCCGTGTTTACAATTGTTACAAATAATTCAATTAATTATATCAACGTTGTTGGAGGTGGGAAAATGTTGATTCTTATAGTTTTTGGTCGCTCATTTCGAATCTGAGGTCAGTTTTTCGATTGGAACATTGTGGGAAGGGGCACATGACCAAAAAATATAGTTAAAATTCCTCATTAAATTGGTAAAAATATTCAATCTGATCTGATACCAATATATTCTGATTCTATAATACATACATTCGCTGCTTGAGGCGAGGGGCTTTTGTTGAGCGTAGATTAACGGGCATCTACACTAGTAATTACATATCTGAATGATGGCACACAATTGACGTTATTTATGAGATTCCGCAACTCACAACTCGGTTGAGGACATAAAATTATAAAGCCACAAAGACAGGAGTTTTTTTGGAAATTAGAAGTCGACATAATTCATATAGGTAAGTCTACGTTTCTATTCTACAAAGATTATTTGTAAGCGATTACAAAATAAGCGATTTCATAAGAACCAGATCATAAGAACTTGAGATTGATAAAGTTCTCAGTTTGCCTCCTTTCAAGTGGAAAACTCGAATTCCGGTAAACATTGAAGATTGCATTGGTTAAGCAGTTTGTTAAATTTGCAAAGTGATTAATTTAATTTACTTATTGTTACCTTATGTCATAATCTTTTCGAAGAGTAGCAATGGCGTCGGCCAGTACACCTGGGACGTCAACTTCCGCTGCTGCTGCTGCTGCAAGTACGCGAAAAACATCTGGTGACAGTGATGAGGGTCCACCCCCCAGAAAAATTCACAAAATCATGTTTGAACCCAAACGTCTCGTCTCCGTGTCCACCCTTGAAGACATGGACGCAATTATTGCAAAATTTCAAATCGCCAAAATTCGCGAACGTCTTGAAGCTCGAACTAAAGAGGAAAACGAACTTCGCCTTCGAATTGAACAATTAGAAAAACGACAAACACAAGACGACGCTGTTCTTAATGTTGTGAATCGATACTGGAATCAGTTGAATGAAGACATCCGTATTATGCTGCAACGTTTCGACACAGAGACGAGTGATGAGATTGAGTCCAACAATGAAAATGCCGGTACGTGTTAATTTGTTATAATAATCTTGGACTTGATTAAAATAACTTTTTAATCCTCTCTCTTGTTTTCATTCCTTACAGCCACAACTTCATTTCTCTCTGAAATGGCGAAATATGACAAGAACGAATTGGATGAAAAACTGGCGAAAAAAGTACAAGTCTCTACTCGAGCTGTTACGAAGATGGTGCAAGCTTTCGACCGATTATTCCAGCGAAGTGAAAAGATTTCCGCTATTCTCAAAGCGGACGTTGATGCGGACACGCCAGCACCAATTGCACAACTGGATGAGAAAATTAAGCAGGAATATATCCAATTTTTAGAAAAAAATAAGCAAATGCAGTTATCAAATACGTCACTGCACACTAAATTCAGAACAATGTCACTCCAGATGAAGGAACTTGCAGAGAAATTGATGGGCGAGGAGACCGAGACTGATGAGATGAAGAATCGCGTGTCAGATCTGGAATATGAGTTTCAAGATTTAAATGCTGGTGAGTTGAAAATCAGATTTAAATTGTTTAATTCTTGGTAAACAAGTATTAATTTTTCTGCATTTTTGCGTCCAGATTGCAAAAAGAAGGCAGACCTGCTCCTGACATGGAAAGATAAAGTGAAAGAGGTGGAAGACATGCTAGGCAAAGATGAAGGGACGGATATTCCAACCACTACCAACAAAGACATGCTCACTTCCAGTGAAATTGCCTGTCTGCAAAAGGAACAGGAAGAGCTCACCGATTTAGCTGAAGAGAGGAGAAAGGAATTAGAACTTTTGAAACAGCAACATATTCACACGTTGCACGAGATTGATAGGTACGTATCCATCCACATTAATTATTAAATCAAAAGTAACCCTAAAACATGACTGGATTGTTTTCCAGATTGAACAAAGAGATTCACAACATTCCCGAATCCACTGTGATGGAGACGACTGAATATAAATGTTTGCAATCAAAATTCTCCGTTATTTATCACGAATCTTTAATGTTACGTCAGATTATCACAGACGTCAAAAAGAATTTGTACTCTGTTAATTCTGCTCAATTGACGCAAACAAAAGAAATGGAACAGGAGGAAGTCAACGTCCAGAAAATATTACAATCCGACATGACATCTCTCGAAGGTAATGAAGACATTTATTTAATTCATTTGAAAAAATACGAGTACTTGACATACGTTAAAACAATTACAAAACAAAATCAATAACAATCAATGATACTAATTTGATACTAATTCCCTGATTATTTTTTTCTTCGAAGATATGCTTACCCAGTTGAAGAAAGAGTACGAAATGTTAAGACTAGAGTTTGAGAAAAATGCAGCCGCAAATGAACAAGGTATTGATTTGATTACGCTTTATTGTTTCTTTAAATCATTGTTGAAAGGTATCTTATGTAGTCAAATTAAAAATTTGTTTCAGTTGCTCCTGTTCATAGGGAAATGCGCAATTTGATTACAACTTTACAGCAGCATAATCAACAAATTAAACTTGAAGCGCAAAGATTTAGGACGAAATGTACTCAGATCGGGAATGATAACGCGGTTACGAAGAAACATAATGTTGAACTTATTCAAAAAGTAGAGAAACTTCATCAACAGAAGAAAGAGATGATTGCTGGTGGTGGAAGTAGTCAAAGCCGTCATGTAGTTAAGCAGGAAGTCAAACAGGACGGGGGGCCAATTTCAGCATCTGCCGTGGCTGCGGCAGTCGCATCTGCAACTAGTTCTGCAGTAACAGTTGAAAAACAAGAAATTCTTCTCCAAGATGTGAAAGATGCTGTAAAAGAGGCTTTAAAAGTGAAACAGGAGCCCAAAGATGAGGAGACGACTATTTCTTCCGAAAGGACGACTTCGCCAATTCCGGGCACCTCTGCAGCAGCACAGGAAGAACTCTTAAGAATTAAGAGTGAACCTGGAACATCTAAATCGACTGCAAGTGCTGAAATCAAATCAGAAATCACCCCCACGACCCCTGTCAAAACAGAGCCATCCGCCAGCGGGAGTAAAACCCCAAAGGTTGAACCTACCACACCGACCACTCCATCCCCTTCAGCCGCATCTGCTGCCGTTACATTTGCCACTCCAGCCCCACCACCAAAAAAGATCTCAGAAGCGGAGCAAGCCCAAATTAACGAGAATAAATCTCAACTCAAGAAATGTCTTTCCGAGTCGAAAGAAATGAAATTGCTTCTTGACATGTACAAAGGACAAAATAAGGAACAGACGGACCGCGTCGACCTAATGGTGAATGAGAGAAAGGCGAGAATGGAACTGGAAGAAATGAAGCTCGAATTTAAAAAGATGCAAGAAAATCAGAAGAAAGAGGAGAAGAAGAAAGTAGCCGAGGAAGATTTGTCGGCAAAGATGAAAGTTTTAGAGGAACGTACTTCGGCTCTAAGAAGACAGATTGCTGCCCAGGTTTGACCATAATAACATGGTCATTTTTTTCTCTCAATATTGAAATATGTACATATTTTAATTGTGTTATTGTTTAAATTCAGAAACAAGAAGAGGAAGCCCTCTTGAACGAGATGGACGTCACTGGACAAGCTTTTGAAGACATGCAGGAACAGAACTCTAGACTAATTCAACAATTAAGAGAGAAGGAAAATGCTAATTTTAAACTCATGTCCGATCGCATTAAAGCCAACAGGTAGTTTTTTTTAAATTCAGCATATTTATTTTTCTGCAGAAATTATAGCTCAAATTAAATTTCTAATTACCTATTTATAGAGTCCAAGAACTCCTCAAAGAGGAGAAGGAAGCACAACAGAAAAATAACCAAATCCTAATGGAACATCTTCAACATAAAACTACCGTGATTCGAAAACTTGAAGAAATCGAGCAGCAACTCGTCGGGACAATTGCCATCATGGAAAAAGAAGCCATGTAATATTCTCTGCAATATAACTAGATTTTGATATATAAAAAAACAAATGGATTATAATTCTCTTATAATTCTAATCTAGGGTTCGTCAACAAGCAATGGAACTCAATAAGCGAAAAGCTATCGAATCTGCCCAATCTGCCGCTGATTTAAAGCTTCACTTGGAAAAATACCACTCCCAAATGAAAGAAGCACAACAGCTCGTCGCCGAAAAGACGTCAGCCCTGGCTGCAGAAGCGTTCAAGAGCAAACGCTACTCTGAAGAATTGTCCATCTTGATGAGCCGACTCGGTAAGTAGTTGGTGGAAGTTATACAATTAGAATAATTTAGTCGTGGATTGGAGTGATTATGACTAATAAGTATGAGGTTTAATGATGAACGATTTGTTAAAAAATAGTAACGACATTAAAAAGGTACTCAGGTGGCAAATTAAATGTGGTAAATTTACAAGTATAGCAATCTTAAAAGTTTAAAATTACTCGATTATGAGATATCCACCAACTCTACACCAACTGCAAATTCTCGAAGCAAAAATTGCTGGATAAGTCTCCAAGAGTGTTCGTCGAAATGCTTCGTCATGGTCATCTTATTCAAGCAGTACGGATGAAATTTGGCTAAGTTTGCACGGAATGGGTTCTTCAGTCGGAGGAGAGATGCAATGAAGAGTGAGATGTGAAGATGTGCTTCAAATTTGAAAAGTTGATTCTTGGGCACCGAAGCCAGTGGTATTTTTGATACCTTCCCATACGTCTGTTGGTAGCTATTCACTGTATCATTTTGTGTATGTAACGCATACATTCCATTTATATTCTTCGTTTGTCCCCCGTACCAAATTTGATGATCACATGCTATGTACAAGGCACCATGTTCTTTATCAATTAATGATGTGAGGTTTTCGCCTTCCTCTGCACGTCGTCCGTAAGGGAACGGTTCATTTTCGTAAAACGATTTTCGATTGCAAATTGAGGTGATTCTGAGTTCAAGGCCAATTTTTCTCATTTCTTCAAGTATCTCACGTTCCCTTGCATTCGCAAAGGATACTGACGCTGTGGAACATTTGACCTCTGGCTTTGCCAACATTTGGAGTAGACTAACAGTCTGTAAAATGGCCAAACGAGTCTCCGCTTCTTCAGCAATCCCAAAGAATTCTCTCGCTAGATTATCTTCTACACCTGCCGGTAGGTAATCCCTGGGTGAAAACGTTATTGTTGTTTCGAAATTCTGAATTTTCTTCCTGTCATTTTCATACTTGAAGGACTTTAGGGTGTGCCCAACAGACACCACCGAGTTGTTGACTTTTCCTTCAAACTTCATTACACAAAATCCAAGATTTAAACCCAGATGTTCAAGACATTTTGGTTGCTCATCCTGGCTGTTAGTTCCCGTGGTACAATAACAATCTGCAGAACAAATATATAATTTTTCACTATGTATTTAAACCGAATCCACTCAAGTTTTTGTATTACCGTTGTATGTGCACATGACTCTATCAGAAGCACTAGTATCCGAATACCTAACAAATAGTAAGTCCCACGCGCGTCCTACACCTTGTCCCCAACCTTTAGCAACTGCTGGTTTCCACAAAAACTTCCATTTGGTCCCCTCGATTTCAACTCCTTCGTCTCCATACGCCCAAATGACTTCCAACGCTTGACATCTTTCTCGTCTAGTTAATGGGACTAAATCGAACGGTGGGAGTGGTGATGGCTCATCATCATCCGACATTTCTTCAATATTATTGTACAGCAAGTCAATCGCTTCTGTTGTTGATGGAATATCTCTCACCAACCCGTAAAAGGCACGCTTCATCAGATCTATTTAATTAAGTGATTATTCAATCTGACTTTATATTTCTACCTAGTAGATATGTGTAGGCATCGTGCCATTTTACCTGCATCCTTATTTCCGCGATGGCTCGATGATAAACGGGCTGTTGATTTACAGAAATCGGGAACTGGTGGTTTCCGGAAATAAATACCTCGTCTGTGTTCTGGAACTGCGTTATCGACCAGTTTAACTAAATCCATTGTTAATCAAAGCAGATAATGTATTAATTAATTGTATTAAGTGTGGTGGTGTGAGGAAAGGAGTGAGTAAAGGAGTGGGGCTTGAGCCGGCGAAAGTTCATTGAACCTTTTCATGCATTTTTATTTTTTTTTTTTACTAGAACGACTCAAGAAGATTGAAATGAGTGGCAACACGGATGAAGTTGTCATCGCAGAGATTCAAGAGTACAAAGACATGTTGACCTGTCCGTCTTGCAAAGTTCGTCGTAAGGATGCCGTTCTGACAAAGTGTTTCCACGTATTTTGTTTCGATTGTTTGAGAACAAGGTACGAAACGAGGCAGAGGAAGTGCCCGAGATGTAATGCCGCTTTTGGAGCTAATGATTACCATCGACTATACTTATCTTAAGCCAAGATCTTACCCACTTATGTATAAAATTAGATTTTAGATTAATTTCGTATATATGAACGTCTTGTGATTTTTCCAAATTTTGTTCATGTCATTATGTTTCTATTGTAGAATGTGTGAATGAATGTATGTAGAGATATGCATGAGTTAATAAAATTGAAACGATTTATACTGCAAAATAATTTGCGACAACAGTTTTGCATATAAATGGCATGAGAAACAAGCAAGTTGGATTTATGTAGTAGTAGGAAAGTGACACGTCAGCCGGCACTGGCTGCTCCAACCTTGCAAAAGTGAGCACTAAACTAAACTTTCTCAACAATTCACAACTTACTTGCTTAGTATTTTGGCAAATTACAATTGGCAGATGTTATTCAATGCCACAATTAACTTATTACGTGGCTAAAGTTAAATGAAGTAGAATTAATTACAGAACAAAGAAAGAAAATGATTCTCGCAAAATAAATATTCCGGATTGTGAGTGATTTTTGTTTGGTTTTTACTTTTGTAGCATTATGTTCTATTTCCGGGTTGTCTTGAGTTGTAGAGGTAAGCAAATAATTTCAACAACGATTAATTAATTAATTGCTGTAGAATATTTTGGTATAATTTTCTTTTAGATCAAATAATAATCTTATATTTGATTTATTAATGATCAAAAGTTGATCATCAAATGATTATTTTTTGTCAATACTATTAACTCAATAGTGCTGAAATTTGTGTGTTTCCCAGGTTGAAACATAGGTGCTATCATAATTTGGTGTTTGGTTTGGATAATCCACTCTGGACAACCAATATTCCTAGTTAAAATCAATCAACCATGGATCGGGACGATCTTCAAGAAATTCCGTCGTCAGATGATGATGACGACGCAACTGAGGTAAACACCAAGTTATTCCTTCTTATTAAAGGTAGTTAAAGTTTTTAAACATAAATTTAATTATTTGCTATCTTAAACGCAGCTGCGTGGGCGGCTCCAAAAGTTAACAGCACGTGGCGGAGGGATCAACAGTCCAGAGTTCACCTCCCCCATCGGAAGTCCGCCTGGTGAAGACAGCGTTTTAAGTGCCAAAGGACGATTTATGGAGATGAAGCGCATGATGCAGGAAGACAAGTAAATTTATAACATTGTCAGTCTCAAGTCTCATGACAAAACTTGTCATCGTTTGCTGTTTACTTTTTTCTCAGGAAAAGAAGAAAATCTAAAAGAAAATCAAAGGTTGCAACCGAGAAGGACCCAGACGTCGAAGGGTTTGAAGAAATCGGAGGCGATCCGGAAGAATGGGAGGGTGGTGAAGAAGGTTCTATTTCTCCAGCCTCCTACACTGATGATGTTGAACAGCTCCTGCAAAGTTTTCGAAGTGAACGGGCTGGAGATCGAGACCTGAGCTTGGTCACTCATCGACTTGTAAGATGAAAGAAGCAGTAAAACCAACAAGGTTGCAATTTGAATAAAAATGATTATTCTTTTCAGGAAAATCACCCCAGAATGATGGAGGTTTGTCAACAATTACGCGAACGAGATCAAAATATTTTAAGGCTCGAGGGAAAAGTATTGGAGCTTGATCGGCAAGTTATCGATCTCCAGGTGAATAATCTTAAAAAAACATTTCCTGGAAGTCAGCTTTATATCGTGTTTCTATTTTTGACTTCAGGATACCTTAAGTGAAAAAGAAAAACTACTAAATTCCAAAAATGATGCGGTCAACTGCATGGTCGCCAAATACCAGCAGAGCATAGCCGACAGAGATACTGAGCTTTCAAAAACGCAACAAACCTTATTTGAATTGGAGAAAAAATTTGGTACTGCTCAAAATAACTGGAAAACTGAGAAGGATCGACTGAATGCAGAAATTAAGCAACAGAATCAACGGTATTTTTCATTTTCTCAGTTCTGTACATATGCAAAATGTGTCAAAATCCAATTACATGAATTAAATGCGTATATCTAAATAAATTTTAGCCTAAAAGACTTAGATGATACCAACAAGCTACTCCAAGCATCCAGAGTTGAGCAGACTTCAAGAGATATAGAATTAGAAGAAAAACTTTCAGTGCTAAAGGAAGACAGGGATCGGCTGACTCAAGAAAACGTAGCAATTCAGGCACATTTAGACCAAGTTGTGGGAGAAAAGGGAACACTGGAGCAAACTCTTTCTGAAAAGACTGACGAATTGAATAAGACAATTAACGAGTTACATATTCAAATAGAAACTTCAGTCAGTAAAACTAAAGAAGATTATGAAGCTAAACTAACCAAAATTAAGAAACAATTTGCATTAAAGCTAAAATCGGTTAAGGAGACGGCAGCTGATGCTGCAGAGGTACGAAATTCTTACTTTAAAGAATTATCAATGAATTTACATAACTTTCTCCTCTGCAGAGTTCGACTGTGCAAGATTTGCGCACACAATTGAACGAATCCCTGGAAAAATTAAATCAGCAAGCTCAACAGGTTCGTTTGGCAAATTAGTTAGAAGTTTGGCTGATGATTGTAATTAATAATGAAATTAATTGTCATGCTTCCAGGCTGAAATCTTCCTAACAGAAAAATCAACTTTAGAAAACGAAATCGACCACCTAAAATCTGAACTTGCAGAAAAATCAACTCTTGAAAACGAAATCGACCTACTAAAATCTGAACTTTTAGAAAAATCAAATATCATTATTCCTCCTCTTCCACTTCCAGAGGACAACACGGAAGAAATTGCCCAACTCCTTCAACAAATTTCTACCCTAAATAGTCGCATAATTGAAGTTGAATCAGGGAAAGAATCTGCTGTTTCTCTTCTTGGTGAAGAATTGTCTCAATTAAAAACTGAGAAATCCACAGCAGAAAAAGACTTTAACGAGCGACTTGCCGAGTATGAACAGAACTTTGAACGAACTATGGACGATTATGAAAAACGCTTAGAAAATCAAGACAAGTTGGAGAAAGACGTGGAAGAACTCAAAACTGCGTTAGAAAAATCAAAGGAACAACTAAGCAAGATGAAGAAACAGTTCCAAGCGAAATTGAAAGCGGCAAGAGAAAGTACACACCCGAGTGGAGAAGGAATAGGAAATGTAGACGTGAGTTCATAATAATTAACAGTGTTAATAAATATGCATTCTTCTAGTATTTACTTGATTAATTAAATTATATATTTCTTAATTAGTCTGAATTGCAAGCAAAATACAACGCCCTAGAGCAACGCAATATTGAATTGGAGGAAGAAAAAGGAAATAATCTTTGGATTCAAGAGGAACTCGCTCAATTAAAACAAGAAAAGGAATCGCTGCAAAATGAACACGATTCTGCGATTGCAACTTATCAAAACCAAATAGAAGAACTGAAATCGTGCCTGGATAAGGCGGCTGATCAGATTAATCAATTCGAGCAGAAACAGTCTCATCAACAGCAACAGCAGAGTCCCGACTCGGGACATGTGAATTTCTTTACATCTATGATGGAAAGCTCCTCTGGTGATGGGGTTGGCAGTTGGGAGGTAAGCATAATCTTGCGTGAGATTTGACCGAAATTATCGATAATACTAGATAACGCATTTCTTTTACAGTCACAGACCAGAATCACCGACCTGGAGCATCAAGTAGCCACTCTGGAAGAAGAAAAAGGTAGTGGTTTCCTAGTCGAAGAAGACGTTGGGCGATTAAAGCAAGAACGTGAACAATTAGAGGCCGAATTCCAAGAAAAGAGTGCAGCCTATGAAGTTAAGATAACTCAATTGGAAGAACAGTTGACCAAATCTACGGAACAATTAGCAAAAATGAAGCGACAGTTTCAAATTAAATTGAAATCCTTACGGGATGAAAATGCAAAAGCCAGTAGCACGTCTTCCTCTCCATGTCCTCCAGAAATTGATGTATGCAATTTCCCTTGATTATTTCACTTATTTTTGTGTCTGAAAAATTGCTAACAATTTGTTTTAATCAGGTTAAATTGTTCGAAGAAAAGATAACCAGTCTCGAGAATAAAGTTGCTGAGCTAGAGGAGGAGAAAGGTAATCTGCTCTTACAAATTTTACAAATGGAAGACTCCATGCCAGGTTCCGATGAGCAGCAAGGTAAATAAATTAAGCTCAACACTACTTGACTTAATTTCATCCAATAAACGTACATAAATTAAATGCGAGGGGCTACGTTAGGGAAATATATATTTGTAACTCTACTATTCGGGTGCAGTGTAATTAATGTCTAGTATAAAACTTGTATTGTTATTCATTATATATTGTGTGGTTTGGTGGAGGCGAGGAAATTCATGGGATTGGATTTATAATACTTGCTGCTTATGTATATATTTTTCTGGTGATGGTTTATTGGGTATCAAACCGACTGGATTTTGTCTAGTCTTGAAAAGGAATAAATTGCTGCTGCTTTTTTACTTATAGAAATAATTTAATAATCTTCAAAACTATTAAAATGAACCAATCTATTTTTCTATTTCTCCAGCTCAACGCGCGACAGCAGTCATGCAAGAAAGTACGCCAGCATCTGCAGAAGATACCATCCGCCTCGAAATTGAATTATCTCAGCGTGAAGAAGAAGTTCGCCAATTGAACGACCAACTCAGAGAATTTACGTCTGCTTTAAGTCAAAAGAACGTCGAGGTGGAACAGCTCATGAAAACTTGTTCAGAATTGGAGCAATCCCTGCAACAAAACATTGAAGAATTGAGCACATCAATTTCTACGAAAGATGACGAAATTAATTCACAAATTACTGCGAAGGACGTCCAATTAGCGGCAAGCGTGGCCACGTTGGCCGAAAAGGAAGTTCATATCGAGGAATTGAGGAGAAAATTGACAGACACCGAATCAAGGTTGGTCAAATTGAGGACTAATTTTGCAATTCCTAGTCAGGAAAACTCATTTAATAAACTCATTCTTACTTTTCAGATTCGAAGAGATGAAAGCACTCGTGCAGGAATATCAAAGGTAAGATTCTATTATGTGAATTAAAGATATCAAAATTAAGATAAGTCATGTTAATTCATAAACAAATAATTAGTACACATAAAATTTACAATACCTTAAGCAGATTATTTTATATTTATAACAGCATGGTCGACGGTGTCCGGAACCATGACCAAGAGGAGCTCACATCCCTGAAAGAAGAATTGGAATCCATCCGTGAAAAAGCTTCCTGTGCTGAACAATCTTACGAAGTAATGAAAGCTTCTTACATTTCTGACTCGAATCAAAGGCACGACACCATCACTCAGCTAGAACAAGACTTGAGCACCCTCCGTACTGACTATAACGAGAAAACTGTCTCGTACGACAAACTAAAAGCCAAATATGATAAGAAAGAATCCGAGTTTGTCACGCAAATCGAAACCCTGAGTGCACAATTGGCATCGTATGAAACGGAAATTGAAACCCTTCGCTCAAACATGGAAGGAAATATGCAAACTGTCGATTTGCAAAATAGCTCAGCCGCTGCAGAATTAGAAGAAAGAGAAAAACAATTCAAACTAATGGAACAACAATTAATGGAGGACATTTCCGCCAAGAATCAGCAAATTCAGGCATTAAATTTGGAACTGGAAAACTCGAAACTTGAAGCCGATCCTATTCGGGAGGAAAATGAAACATTCAAGAAGCAACTTGGCGAATATGCTGCCTACGCAGAATCCCTCAAGAACGAGCTGGACTCATTCCGAGGTCATTATTCCAACATGGAGTCAAACTATAACCAAATGTACGCCGATTTAACACAGAAATCTGCTCAATTGGAACAACTTTCCCACTCTGAGACTGAAGCTTCTACTCTGACAGCATCTCTTCGTGCCCAAGTTTCTGAAGGAGAAGAAAAACTTGTTCAAATTAATACCACGCTCTCCATCCTGGAGCAAGATAAGGCTTCCCTCATTCTTCAAGTGGAACAGCTCACGCAGGACGGTGACGCCCTCCGTGCCAAACTCACTGGGATGACAAACGAATATATTCAACTGAGAGAATCGCTAGAATCAAAGGACACTGAAGCCCAGCGTTTACGACAAGACGCAGACACTCTGCAGTCTGAATATTCCCACTCTAGTAATGAACTAAAACTGAAAATATCCTCGTTGATGGATCAGTTAAACGATTGTGAAAATGAAATTAGTGTCGTATCAACCCGGTTGAAAGAATCGGATGATATCTGCGTTGAAACTAGGGCAAAGTTGGCAGAGACTGTCGCATCGTTAGAAGAAAAGTCCAAGATTCTCGAGGATAAATCCAAAACACTGGAAACTGTGGAAAATACACTATTTGAAAAGACAGAAGACACGCTAAGATTGGAGGAAAAGCTTAAAGAAACGGAGGAAAAACATCGTCTCGAAATGGAAGCTAATTTTGTCAAGTATTCTGACGACGTGGACGCAACATATGATCAATTGGCTCTCGTCGCTAGTGAAAATCTTACATTACAAGAGCAACTGAGAAAGAAGGAGGAGGAATTGAAAGACGTTCGACAACATCAAGTTGATTTGTCATCCAGTTCGAATTTGAAGCATGAGTTGACCAATTGTCGGGAAAGAATTTCCAATCTTGAAGCTGAATTAAATCTAACTTCTCAACAGTTCGAAGAACTACAAGCGTACACGGCACAGCAATCAACTCGGGTGGAAGAACTCCTGAAAGAAGTTGACGACAAGAAGGACCGGTTGACTCAATTGTCTGTAGAGTTGGAAGAATTGAAAACTATTCAACACCAGCAAGTATCACAACAATGGTCTGCAGTTCAACAACAAGTACAACAGTCTCCCCCAGTACAATCAACTCAAAGTTTGTGGGGTCCGCCTCAAAATGATGAAGATCCTTTCGCCACTATTTTGTCATCACTACCACCCCCGCAAAGCGGTGTTGCTCCGTCCTCTTCTTCCACCACAACCACTACCACAGCTCAAACCGAAACTGATGCTGCCGTTACTGCTGAACTACTATTAGAATCACAAGTGAATCAGGTGCGAATTAAAGAACTTGAAACCCAAGTCATCGAACTCGCCGCAGAATTGGAAGAAGTTCGAAACTTGCAACGGAGCGATGACCAACAGCGTAACATGTGGGGACCACCACCACCACCGTATCAACAGGAACGTGATGCTCAGGATCCATTCGGAGCCGATGTTCCGCCCTATCCAGAGGAGCCACCTCGGAGAGTCGATACTGTTGCTGTGACGACTACGACTGATGGTCTTTCTCAAGAAGCTCATGATGAGCAACTACGCCAAAGGGATCAGCGAATTTACGATCTTGAAGTCCAGCTCGCCGAATTACAGGTAAAGTATTTTATTTAGCTGACGGTTTCCGGGAAAATGCAACCTGGCATTTATTAATACATGGCGTTGGAGATTCTATTATCTATTATGTTACAACGGCTTTGAATATGATACCACAAGCAAAGTTAACATCTATAATTTGATATAATTTCACCGAGTTACAGATCAGCATTGATGACGCCAATTTGCAACTTGGTGAAGTCACGGAACTTAAGACCAGCTTGGAAGTCCTTACCTACAAAATTAAAGAACTTGAAGATGAGAATTCAAAACTGAGACAGGAATTACAACAAGAACGAGCTAAACCTCCGAAGGAAATATTCATTCCGCCAACGCCGTCCACATCAACTCCACATCAACAACAAGGTCAAGGTCTCGTCGCAGTCGAAGAACCACTAATTGTCCCATCAACTGCGTATGTCACCACTCCGGAGCAACAATCCGCTCCTCCATCGGCCGACTTGTTGGAAAACGCCTCGAAAGAAATTAAAGAGCTAAAGGTCAAGAACGGAAAAATGATTCAACGTTTCAAACAACTCAAGGACAAATATGACGCGGTCGTGAAGGAGAACGAAGGTTTCAAAACTAAAAAGGAATTCTCTCTTGATTCTGCGTTTGAGGATGAGTTCTTTTCCCAAGTGAAGGCGAAGGATGACCTCCTTGAAGAAAAGGGAAAACAGTTGGTCGAGCTTCAAACTGAGAATAAACGTCTCACTGAGAAGATTGATCTGCTCGAGAGGGGAACGGAACGTCTCACGGAGATGAAGGAGGAACAGGATCGTGCCGTTCAGAGCTTATCTGGAAGTAAACGTGCCCTCGAGACGGAGGTTTCAGCTTTAAAGTGGAAAATGGAAGAGTTGGAGAATCTTTCGCTGAGTAGAGTTGCAGATCCTTCTTCTTTTGTGGAGGGTGGTGCTGGTAGTGTTAGTCACGATGGTCAAGATGTAGATTCAAGAAGTGGTGAATTACAGAATCAGGGATATTTTGATTTAGGTGCAACAAATCCGGATGTACAGGTATTACTATTTTACGATAAGTTCGGTCTGATTTGGCTTTTAAATATATAACATGTTTTTGGCATTTATAATTCACAGGAAAATTTTACCCTACGGCAACAAAATCTTGTCCTTAGTCAAGAAATCCAAGTTCTCCAACAAGAAATCGCAGTGCAAAAGAAATCCGCGGACGATCTTGCGGAAAGGAATGAACAGTTGGAAGATGAACTAGAAAAGATGCAAGAATTGCAGATTGACCAACGGATGCGAACCCCTACGCCAAACATGCAGCAAAAACAACAACATCTGCAACAAGAGCAACAGCAAACTCTTCCCATCTTTCCTCCGCAAGGAGATTATGTCGACTCGGCAACTCTGCAAATTCCACCTCCTCAATTAAGTCCAAACAATCAACACGCCACTATCGACACTCAAATCACTTCCCTGCAATCCCTTCTCCAATCCGAGCAACAAGAGAAGATCGTTCTAGAAAGAAAAATTGAGCTTTTACAATCAAAAATATCAGAAATAGAAATATCCGAGATAAAATGTTTCGAGGAAAGCTTAATGTTAAAGGGATGGACGCGACAGTTGGAGCTTGACAATTTAAAAATTCAACGAGAAATGGAGCGAATTTATGGCAGCATTCAAGACGGCGATACCGGCAATATTAAAGCCAAGGTGCTACAAGATGAAATTATCAGGTTGGTGGATACCCTCCATGATCGAGACAAGAGGTGTGAGCAGCTAACAGTGGAAATTACACGGGTATTAATTGAGTACTAATTTCAAATTAATCGTATTTCTATGATAATTACTCATTGTATTCCTAAAATGTCTTGTAGCTTCTTGAAGAACGGGACACTCTCCAACTAAAACTGTCTAACGCACTTCGTCACAACGTGTCACTTCATGAAGAAGTCTACAAAGGAAAAGATGCTTCTCTACCTCACGATGACATTCCATCCTACAATAAAGAAGAGTTGCAACTGAAATTGGCCGAACTGGAGCAGATGAACTATTCGATGGGGATTGATCTTCGAAGGGAACGCGAAGCCAGGAGACTTGTGCAAGAGCAACTATTTTTCTCCAGCTCGTCCAGAATATATCCTGGCAGTGGAGGGAGGCAGCAACAGTCATCGCCTTCACCGAGCAGAAGTCCGAGACCTTTGCCTACCACGCCACCCCCGCTTCCATCACCAACACAAATGAGTCATTCCTCAATCCCTCCTCCTCCCTCCGCTGCAACTATACAGTTCGCATCACCGCATTCCCCTTATCCTGAAAGTCCATCAATGACTAGTACTCCCGGTTATGATGTGACCACTCAATTCCAACAGTATCCCCAAGATCCTGCAAATTATCGTGAGCTCAACGGCCTGTCATAAATTCTCAATTTGTAACAATAAATATTCTCCATTTTCATTTCAGCATTATTTCCACCTCCTGTCGATGTGATCCAACCCCCCACAATGCAAGTACAATCAGGAGTCCTTCCACCCCAAGTTCCCCAAAATGAGGGTCCATCCTTAAAGTAAGCTAAACGTCTAGCCCTTATGTAACCCATGATTTGGCACTAAATAATTAGTTACTAATTAAATCGGTCCGTTTGTTTGTTTATTGCAGTGTTCCCCCACCTCCTACTACCCAACATTTGTTTAACATTTAAATAATTTCCATATATAACAAATTACTAGGTTGACAAAGTGTTATGCAAATTTCTAAAAACAAGTGCCTCTTTAAACAGTAGCTTTATGATTTGATTGGAATACTAACAAAAACGTGCCGTTTCAGATAATCGTGTGAATCATATGATGTGATTAAGAAAATATTTTTATCGGATGCAATAGTCAATTCATAATAATTTTGTGTAACATTTTTTTTGATATAAAGTTAAAATCAATTATTTTGTCAACGCCAAAGAATATAATAAATTATGCGACTGAAAGCCAAGATTGCTTGACAGTTTATCATAATGCAATGTAATTATTACTAAAGTTGTCAAGCAACCTTGACTGAAAGCGTGTCTTCCAGAGTATGAAAACGGTGTGGTGTGGTTTGATTTGGGCTATGGCTTTGTAAAATATATTTTATTACCATAGCCATACTATGCAAAAATATAGATATGCATGTATGTATACTGACTTGTGAAATGTTTCAAGAGATTCTGGACCTATTTCTTCTAACAACTTTGGGGAGGGGAAATCGTCTGAGCGAAAGGAGACATGGATGTCACACGCGCTGCTTGATTTTGCTGTGGAGCTCTTCATATTTTGAGTTCAATTTCGTAAATATATTTCCATTTTAAAAATAAAATATCACAATTGTTCCGGGCATGTCTTTTCATGATCACAGTTATGTCGAACAATAAAAAGCTATTTTATAAACTCTAGATTAATAAACTACCAACTAATTATTTTCTCTCTGCCCATTGCCCTCTAATCCTGTACCAGCAGTCCACTTAACCTCATACCAATGTACCATACATCATCACGTTCCTATAAGCATAAAAATAAATTATACAGGTCTGAAGATTCCATGTATCTAATACATGATTGAATCAAGGTACGTTGCATGTCTGTTTTCTACCAATACATGTATTTGTGAATGACTTGATAAGTAAATCAGAGAGTTTAATACTTATCCCGAGTCACAGCTTATGGGGTCGTTATACATATGCGAGTCCGTCTGGCCTGTCATTTGTTGAGAGTTTATCCAAAGAGTGAGCTGAGCTATATATAAATGAATATGGGATTAGATCAGAATGCATTGGTATACACCCAAAACCGTTTTTTATAAAGGAATAATATCCATTTATATAGTGAATATGCAGTTTAACTAATTAATTCAGTTAATTTCATGAAAACTTGCAAAACTAAGTGCACATGTATGTTGAGGTTCGGGCTATATTGCACTGTACTAGTTTTAGCCCGAACCAGGGCTTATGTAATCGTCATGTCCGTCCGCCCGTCTGTCTTTCGATAACTTTCGAACGAGTTGACCGATTTGGACCAAATTTGGTACAGACAATGTATCTGGGCAATGCAACGACCGAGTCCGAAGATGGGTTCGATCAGAACAGTTTTGGACCGGTGGGGGTCATCGGAGTGGGTGGGGTATTATGCACCAAAATTTCAAAATTGTGTTAGAAAGCTGAAATTTGGCATAGAGGTTGCTAATAGCTGCTGATGAAAGAATATGAGGTTAAATTGGAAAGTTATTCAACCGGAGGGACCCGAGGGGGTGACCCATACCGATTTTTCAAAATAATCTAACCGAGCTGAAATTTGG